AAGTCAAGGGCAGGAGAATAGAATATCTACCTTTTAGTATTCATCTGTCTGCAAGAGAACAGAATTCAGTTATGCCAAGATAGGACAAGGTTGTCCCCCAGCAGGACTAGCAGCTTCTACGAAAGAAATTTCCAACCATTTTGAACCTATGGCTACATTTGGAAATCTGGGAAACCAGTGTAAGCAGTGGCTCACTCCTACAGAGGATGTAGCTAAACACAGAATGGCTGCCAAGAGGGCCTGGCTAAACAAAAGAAAAGTAATTCATGCAGGAAACATAACAAGCAGAAAAACTTTAAAGCTAATCCAACCATTAAATACCCATTTAATGTCGCAATTCTTTGCCATTTCAAATGAAACTTGGTGGGGATTACTTTTGAGTAGGCTTGCGTAGAATTGCTCTGCTCATCTCACACACAGACTTTTACCTTTTCCCAGATACAAAGGAAAAATACTCCAGACAAAAAAGGAAAGAAAAGCTGAGCCATTCCTTCTCTACCACTGCAGCCCTGACCCAGAATGGTGCAGCACTCTCACTCTGTGCATACATGTGCACATCTACATAAGTGTGTGTGTGTGTGAGAGAGAGAGACAGAGAGAGAGACAGAGAGAGAGACAGAGAGAGAGACAGAGAGACAGAGACACAAGAAGAAAGGCTAGTGAAGAAAGAAAAGAATATGGCTAGGGGTCTGGAAAGGGGAACAAACAGAATAAAGAGGTGAGGGAGGAATTAGTGAGGCTAGGGGCTGGTGGGAAGGGAGAATTAGCAGGACAAATGGGTAGAGGGAAAAGTTAGGGGCAAGTTTGGGGAGATACACTGTCAAGTTAGAGGCTAGAAGTGGAGAGAGTACATGTGCATCAAGGCAAAAGGTTTGTGTGAATGGAAAACTGGGGAGGGCCAGAAAGCAACTCTTTCCTTCTCTTCCTACAGACCAAACAACTGATCAGTGGCAGGTTTAGCAACAGGAAGAACAACATGCCATAAAGGTTTTTCAAGTCTCAAGAGACCTTAACCTATGAACATCAATACACTTAAGTCTACGGAGTAGGGTAAACACATTTAAAATGAATGTGATACCACTAATTGTTTGTTTTATATGGCATTCCTTTACATCTGACAAGTTTTCCAGACATTTAAAATTTGGTTTTCTAAATTTCTATGGGCTTCCACTCTGTCACAAATATTCTTGAAAAGAATACAACTTTCTATCAAAGAGGCTGCATCTGAACTTTTTGGATTCCTTGAACTTTCCTTATATCATTGGGCCTATCTGTTAACTGTGCTAGATTATAGTCTTTTCCACTTAGATTCCTCTCCCTGGTCAGTTTTGCCATCTTCTTTTCTGGATCTTTTTCCCAAGTGGTTTGCCCTAAACTCTCATCAAAATAGATAATGTGCCCCTTCCATGCTGGAGAGTTATGGTACATATTTTCATGTCAATTGCAGTTTGCTGTATTTTCACATGGAAAATTAACTTTATGGGGAAATCCAGATTTTTAAAATGACAAAAAAAAAAAAACATTTGCTTGGTGGATATGGGTAGACAGGCTGATTTTTACCTTGGATCAGCTTGTCAGTCCTGATAATACTTTTCTATTATTTTTTGATGTGTGTGCTAAATATAAGTTAGCAGCTACAGAGACAAAGAAATATATTTACAACTTATTGTTGTAAGCCGCCCTGAGGCTTCGGCGAATGGGGCGGCATAAAAATGTTTTAATAAATAAATAAATAAATAAAATGTTTGTTAGACTCTAGGTTTGCTCCTCCTGCTTTTACAGCCCCAGAGCTGCCAGTGTTAAACCAACCAGTTACACCAACCTACAATTCAGGTCTACAAATTCATTTGGAAAAAAGGAATGGAATTCATTTGGAATGGAATAATGAACTGAAGCACCCCATTTTGCCCAATCAGTGGGGGCCTTCATTATTTTGTAGGGAGTCATGGATCTAAAGCTTTGTGTAATTCAGCAAAAGTTGATGTTCTGAGTATATTGGACACCACAATGTCTATTTGATAAGAGCTTACTTATATTGGCCAATTGTTGGAGGTACAATGGTGCTAATGCTTCCCTTTTTAAAAGCTTGGGCAATGCGTAATGGAAGCTTCCTTTTGGTGAGGAAGCACTAATCTGAAAAACTCCTGTGAAAGTTATTTAATATTTGAAGACACACCTGTTCTTTTGAATTAACTACCAATTTCTTGGAATTTAGGGCAAGTTATCAATGTAAATTGATTTTCTATGCCTTTTTGGCAGCTAACAGACTAACGTTACAACATTAAGACGAAGAGCCACCTCCAAGAACACCATGGATGGAGAATGTAATGAAACTTTCAATTTTTGATCTGGTGGCCTTTAGGAAATGGATAAATATATGGAGTGCCTTTGTTGAAGTCTATGGTATTTCATAATGGTGGTGCATTCTGTCATATATTATGTTCTGCTATATACTAACAAATATAAAAATACAATATGCATGTAATTTGTTCTATGGATCTTTTTACATTTTATTCAAAAATTGTAATATTTTAGTTTTCTTCCTTTTTTAATGTTGTGGTTTGCAGGTTTTTTTCCCTAGTGCAAAACAAAAAAATAATGTAAGGACATATTGCAGCAAATGCTAGGAAAGGCTTCCTGCTTTTTCTCCATCCTGCTATATATTCAATGGCAAAAACAGTCTGTGTTAGGATCAGAGATAAGGTTAGGAAAATGAATGCTCAAAAAACAGTGAATCACAGCATGATGAAACCTTGCCCTGCATGGCTTGTAAATTTGTCTTTAGTTATGCAGTTTGCCAAGATTATGAGTTGAACTCTAACCAAAGCCAAACAGTAGAATGACAAACTGCCTGTTCTAACTTTTTCTCCTAACTTAATCAGTTTCAAATACCTGAACACATGTACGATGAAAACATAATCCGAGCTACTTTGGACATTAAACTTAGGTGATTTCTACAATCATCTTTTGCAGTTCTGATCGAACATCCAGACATATGCATCTTTCCTATAGTATCATGCATGAGCTGTACCCACAAATAAAGTCTATGCTTCTTTGGGCAAGACAGACAATTGGCCTGTTTGGTCACTATTTAAGCTAGGAGCCACTTCTTTTCCATTATGCCAAAACCCCACAAGCTTACATCACAAAACTTGGTTTCAAAAGATAGCTGCTCTGATAAGCAACTATTTTAGCAACAAGGAACATACTGGAAGACTCAAGGATGCATTTTAAACTTTGATATATAACCATGAAAACTAGGATTTTTTAAAACGCTGATTTCAAAGGCCATCATGTAGTGTGCCTACAAAAGCTACACTAACAGCCTTACACAGTGAGGGATCAGTGAGACCTTTTCTGAAATAACCTGATCAACCTAAAAAAGTTAGACAGCAAAAACAACTGACCTTGCAACAGGGATTGACACAGGAAGAAGACATGGATGCCAACTCTGTCTCTGCTCTGCAATACTATTACAGGATCTAATAATACAACTACAATACAAACCTGTTCATCCTCCAATTTGATATATGATATATTTGATTGTATTATATATTTGATTATTTACTAGTTAACACCCTACTGTCTTTTAGTTTAAAAAGACAGGCAGAATCTACGTACAATAATAAGTGGGCACAAATCTGGCATCAATAATATTAATAAAAATATCCAAAAATCAGCAAGAACACACATCAACCTTGTCAATGATCTTAAAGTGGAAGTTCTTGAACAAAGGAACTTCAAAAATGTCAATGCAAAATTGCTGAATTATCAGTCATCAAGAGACTCAGCTGTATTTCCTGTGATTTTACAAGGACAAAGTGCCTTTAAAAAAATCACACCACATGTATTCATCTGTTCACTAATACAATTGTGATGACTTTTTGTGAATGAGAGCTGTTAAGGCAATAATCACTGTTGTACTTTTGGCAATATAGTTCCCTCCCCCCTCCCCCCATCCATGTGTATATAAACCTGCCAGCTTGAGGCCAACACTTCAAAACATCTACTATTATAAATTTATTTGTTTTTAAGGTGTCTCAAGACTTTTTGTTTTTCTAAATAAGTGCATAGGATTGCAGCCTAATGTTGTCGATCCAAAATTCACTTAGTGGAAAAACTAAGTTAACTTAGTCTTGTCACCACCATCATTAAACGTTCCAAGTTGGGTGGTGAGGGGCTATATATCTACAGTACCAGGAAAATTTTATACCAAAAAGTTCACATTCAACTGTTGACTTACAAGCAGGCACCCAGACTTCACCTAAAAGTGTCAAATGGCCAGAACTAAAAAGTAGTTGAGACAGAACATTTCTTCTGGAGTCAAATGAACAATCCCAAATCAATGCTATTATGCAGAATTTGGGAAGCCATATCGATATTATCTTTAAAGCTAAAATATTCTAGCCTATGAATTGGAAGCTCCACTGTGAGATTTATATCAAGAGTACCTAAAACACCTTTTGTGACTTGCGAAGCTTCCTAGAGAGGGAAGTAATTCCCCAAAAGAGTAGCCGGTGCTTTCTCCAAACTCATTCTCTACTTTTACTTCTTTCCGTACCCACCGAACAAACTTCGGACCCTTTCAAGCCGCCCCAGAAGATGCAAGGCCCTTTTTAATTGTGTTTTGTTTACCTCGAAGACTTCTAGCTCGCCTTAATACTCCAGAATACTCTTGGCTGCTGGCAAAGATTGGTAACCACTCTAATGTTCGAATGAAATGAAACGGGCGGGGAAGCAACAGCACACTTCAGCCGCTACTCAGAAGGCGGGATGGGCCCGACGGGAGAAAGCGACAGCATCTTTGCTTCTTCTCTGTCCCGCACTCGGCAAAAGTGCCGGCTTCGAACTTATCGAGATGCGAGCGTTGTTCCGAGAGCAGGTGGCCGCAGGGGCCTTGTTCCGTCCCAGGAGGCCCAGCACGCTCCCGCGCCGCCGGCGGAGGTGGAAACGGGGAGGGCGAGCAATCCCCGACCTCCGCCAGGCTGCCGCTCACTTACCGCCTCTTAGGGAAAGTGCTCGGCTGAGCGCTCGTCGACGTTGTCGGCGCCGTGCCCGTTCGCGCTCGGCACTGGCTGGCGGACAGGTGTGTCTCGGGAGCGCTCCGCAGGTGGCCCGAGAGGACCCTCAGCCTCCGGTGAGCAGCAGACTGGAAACCGGCGCCGCCGCCGCCCCCCGGTCCCTCCGCAGCCGCCATGGCACTTCCGTGTTGCGCCGTCAAGCAACGTCGGGTGAAAGGTTGCGCGTGGCGCCCAACGGCGCTCCCAAGTTGTCCCGTCGACCACCGCGCACACAAACCTCCGTCCGCCCGCCGCCCCGCTATCTGCGTGAAGGCAGAATAAGGTCCTCCGGCTGTGGCCCCGCCCCGGCCCCGCCCCCTCCGAACGCGGGGCTGTTGACGCGCTCGTCGGCTCCTCGCGCTGGCGCCGGCCGCACGTGGCAGCGGCCTCCCGGGCTCGGTGTGGCCCAGCGCAGGGGCAGGCGGAGCGGCCGCTGCTCCGTGCTGCTCTCCCGCCCAAGGGTGGACGTCTTCGCGGCGCCGCTCTCTTTGGGTAAGGCCGCTCTGAGCAAGGACACTGTGTTGCCTTCAGGCCTATGTAAGGTTTTCCTGCAAGGGGTCTCCGTACACGCCCTTTCCTGGTTATTCTGCCTTGTATAATCACCTGCAACAGTCTGTATTTTCCATTTCTCGTCGTGCGACCAAAATGTTCCAGTTTCCTGAGTTTTACATGTTTTGTAATTTCTTCATCTTAGTACTTTCGCTTTATACGTTTCTGTTGGTGAGCTCGCAGTCTGCAAAATTTGTAACATCCAATGTAAATCCATGTTTCAAATGCTATCTTGTTTATAGTAGTCTGTGATAAAGTCTGCAGTTTCATGTCACAGTGGAACTGAAAATACATAACAGCACACCATGTAATACTTGTCTTGTGTTCCATTTTTCAACTTAAAAAAGCAACTATGGGCCATCACTATTTTAACTTTTGTTCGAGTGTTTCTTCAACCAGATTCCAAGATAATTATATCTATCAAGATACTCAACATTTTAATTTTGATTTTTAACAGTATTTCGTAGGTTACTTGCTTTTCCTAATTAACATGCACTTGATTTTCTTAATATTCACTTTTAGCCCATGGTACTGAACAACAGATCTAGACAAAATTTCTTCTCCCTTGTGCAATCCTATCGCTGTTTACTCAAATTTGAGTCTCATTAAATTTAATGGGGCTTATTCCCACATAAGCAGGTATACAATTGCAGCCAATATCAATTGTCAGGGAAATCTCAGATTAGCAGCTGTGAGAATGTATGCTCAGATCCACAGGGAGACACCGTTGCCTCAAATCTCAGCAGTTTTATTGGTCAGAACACCCAGGTAAATCCCTCTGCAGAGTACAAACCTACAACAGCATTGCTTGGTAGAGGTATGCCCACCAACTACAAGTTTCTGAACATATACAGGGTGTTTTCTAGGCTTCTAATCACATGCACAGGAACAGAGCAGATGATGGGAAAATAATGGACACATAATGTATTCATACAGCAAAAAAATGTGAGCGATCTGCAGAGGGGCATGAGACAGTTGTACAGGAAATACCAGTGATTACAGAATACTGACATGACAATCAGTGAGGTATATGAATCATTACAAGTCTTGAGTCTGAACATGCAAATGAAAGTGATTGTGATACTGCTAGAAAAACCAGTTTGGCAGCTTGCTGCTGCTAGACATAGAATGGTCATGATTAACTTTCCTTGGGAGCTGCATTCTTCAGAGAATTAATTTTTGCAGCTAAATGTAGGCACCACCTCAGGTGCTCAGAGAGTCCCAATCTCTTAAAGGAAGAGATGCCTAATAATGCTTCAGGGAACAAAAAGGGAATCTGGCTTGGAATTTGGGTTCTTTCTGGGCAAGAGGAACAGGGATACTGCAGATTTGATTTTATATCACAAAGGTACCTATTAGCAACCTTTCTCCATAAAGAATTACTTTGATTTCCCCAACAAAATGTACACAGGAGTAAGTTTTGATAAACTCAATGGGGCTAATTTCTGTTTAGTGTGTACAGAATTATACTATCCACATAATATTAGGATTACATTTATTTTTGAAATAAGTTAATACCCCACCCCTCAGTCAATAAGTAAATTCAAGCCAAAGGCCATGCAAGTGCATGCAAATCAATGCAATAATAGTTAAGATTCCAAAGCCCAAATCCTGTCGTTTCTTAGTAAAAATATTTCTGTGCTATCTCTCAGCCAATGCAATATTAAAAGTGATTGAAATACACAACACAATAAAAGTAATGCTAAAAACCAGCAACAACTGTAATAGTACCAGGTTTTCAAGGTTTCCTTAAAAGCCTGCAATGGTAGAGCATAGGAGGCTCCTGATGGCAACTTATTCCAGAAGTGTGGGACCATGGTAGAGAAGGTCCTCTCACATGCAATCACCTACCTAATGCTTGAACAGGTGGACAAAAGTGAAGAGTGTCTCTTGGTGACCTTACAGTGTGGACAGAATGATTAGGGTGAAGGCTGGTTCTTCAAATAACTTAGTCTCAGTCCCTCAAAAACAGTCATTTAAATTAGGCTTAGAAACACAGTGGATAGATAAGATCACCCAGGAATATTTAGGAGGCCTTATTCTGCACCTGCTGAAGTTTCTGAACCATTGCCAAGTAGTTCTAGGTACAGCTCATTACAGCAGTCCCCCCAGGATGTCTCTAGTACATGGATAACTGGGGGGGGGGGGGGGTCCAGCCTTTTTAGGCAAGGCCACAACTTTGCTCATGAGCCGAGCCTGGTGAAACATACCCCTGCACTCTACAGCCCCATGGACTTCCCCAGTTAGTGCAAAGTGTAAGGGGACTCCCAGAAGACATGCCTGGTCTTTCAGAGGGACATCTAAGATTACTTGTAAAAGCTTCTCTAGGGTAGTTTGTTTCCAAACCCACAGTACTTGCATCTTGCCTGGATTAAGTGTCCATTTGGTTGTCTGTTTACTCAAAAGAACTTCCCAATGCTGGGTCACCAGCAGCTTCTCTGTAATGTGTTGCTGGAATGAAGAGTAGACCTGAATTTTGTTTGCAGACTGATGGCACTTCAACCTACACCTCCTGATGACTTTCCTCCGTGGTTTCATGTGGTCCTGCTTAAAACATGCCATTTGAGTTGTCTCAGCAGCAGAACTGTTTGAGCAGCTACAGCTGACCCAGGATCTATCCAAACTCTCCAGGAAATGATCTCCAGGGATTTTCCTAAGGTCCATCTTAAATATTAAGTTGGAGGACCAGGTTCCAGCTCATGAGACAGTAATGGGACCACTTCTCCCAGAATAAGATCTACGAATGTTCTCTCCTGGAAATTTTACCTCAGACAATTTGCATTTTCTTGAGCTTTGGAAACAGCCTAGCCTGGTTGCCTGGCAGAGTTTATAGATACATTCCAGTAAGGGCCATTGGCATTGCCATGATATTGTCAGCTGATATTGTCCCCGGCTCTACACATGGATCCCAACTGTGGCCTGTTATATTTCAGCATCTGGAACTTCAACTGAAGTATACCTGCTTTGTACAGCGAGGCAAAGGCTTTTATCTGCCCTGCTTGCAGAGGTTGCAAGTAGCCTAAAGGTCAAAACTGATCCGATAATGCCGTGTCCCTGCCATGTGTCCTGACCATAGATAACCTTTTCCTAATTTAGCAGTTCCAAAAGTGTGCCCTGCCACGTGTGTTGGACCAGATGTTATCTGAAAATAATACCTTTAAGGCAGTTATAATTGTTAGTTGTAGGTCTCATTTCTGCCATATTCATTCATTCATTCATTCATTCATTCATTCATTCATTCATTAACCTTGTTTTATAATCAATCCCTTTTATGACTTCACCTGCCTGATTCTATCCTCTGATGGGCCAAATCCAAACTTCTAGGTAGGTTGTGAGATTAGTTGTGATATTATAATGTGAAATATATTATTTATTAGTTGTGAAATATATAATGATTTAATTGGTGCTTTTTTTATCATAGAACGCACCAGAACAGAGTTCTGGCACCTTTTTTCAACAGATTTTCCAAGTTATAAAAGTAACTTTTGAAAATTTGATGTTTGGTCCACGTGGATTTGAATTGCCCTGTCGAGCATAGCAGGCCCTGTCGAGCCTGGCGGCAAAATCATTAAAACAGTGCACACAGGCTGCTTGTGTGTGAAAACCGATGCATGCGTACTTCGTCCACGCTGGTTGTGATCGGTCGTGTGGTTGCGCGCTACACAAGTGACGTGTGTGGGTGTGTGTACAGTGATTGACTATGTGCGAAAGGTAAATAATGTCATGAGTTCCGGCACCATTTTTCTTACAAAAAAGCACTGGATTTAATTATATTTTTGTCAGTTTAAAGACTTTAAAGGCTCTACTGAAAGAACTTTTTGTTTCTGCAGATAGGAAGCAGGAAGAGAAACAATGTGAGGGGTTTTTTTAATGTTTGTTATTTAAATGTATAGTTTGCCTTTCAAACTTATTTTCAGGGTAGCTTTCATCACACATTAAAATAATAAATTAAAGCACAATCCACATTCAAATAAACAGATCAACCAATGTTCTAAAAGCCTGAAAATGTATGTATATTTGCATGTATTTATTTCTATATGCCCAAAAGCCTAAGCACTCTGGGAGGTTTGCACAGTCCATAAAAATACAATGAAAATAACATAAAATCAGAAAAAAGACATTAAAAAGGTTTAAAACAGCTTTAATAGATTCTTTTCTGGCGCAAAAAGGGTATCAGTGGGTCCCTAGGGCAAACACACCAAACTGGCTACCATCACTGCAAATGCTTCTCCCAGCCTGAGTAAGCTTCATATAGCAAGCATATTTGGAGGAAAAACGGCCACTGATAAAAATCTTCAGGTATGGACAGGTACATGCACAGGCAGGCACCCCATCAGTTATCTTGACTGTTTACAAACACCACCTATGCCACTTGCTTTTCTTGGACCAGTGGTTTTGTTCTCATTCAAACTGTGTTCCTCCAGAGGACCTTGCAGTTTCTCAGAAGCATTTCCAGGGCCTTTCAGTCACCAGTAATGGCCCCCTTGACTTCTTTATTCCTACCAATATCCCCTGCAGGCTGTAGGCAGAGGGAATTCTCTGGGGCATTCCAGAGAACTTTCTCCGCTAACATGGGATAAAAGTTAATTGCAAGAAGCTGGTTAGTTCTTTGCACCTGCAATTTTAGAAACATAGAAACAGAG